TTGAATGGTAAGTAGGAATTAGCAAAGCAAAAATGTCATGAGAGTGTTAGGCAAATGAAATGATAAGTGCCCAGACTCAGGATGAGAAGGAGCCTGGCATATTTTAGGAGTTCAGCAATGGGAGATGAAACTCAAGCATCAGGTGGAGACAAAACCTGTGTGTGTTATAGGCTGCGTTCAAGAGTTCTGTTTGTCCAAGGAGGACCCTAAGAGAGACATACATGGTCCCCTGGAGAAGGGCAAACGGTCAAGATCCCCTGAGCAAATTGAGAGAACAGGAAGAGGGGGGAGAGAGCTAGGAGAATGAGAAGGGGAGAAGAAGAGGGATGCAGAGGACAAGTGGGAGCCAAAAGGTTGAGTCAGGGGAAGAATAGAAGATAACAAGAATGTAGATACCATAATAGAGGGAGACATTTTAGGTTTACAGAGAAATCAGGCACTAGGGAAATGTCTGGAGATCTACAAAGATGACACCAGCTAACAATCTAAGCAACAGAGGAGAGGCTACCTTAAATGCCCTCCCCTGATAATGAGGTTGATGACTGATTTATATGCCACCTGATAGCCCTCATCCAGCAACTGGTGGAAGTAGAAGCTGACAACCACAACTTATCACTGAGCTGAACTGGAATCCAGATGCAGAGAAGTATGAGTGAAGAGCAAAGGGGTCCAGACCAGGTCCTGGTGAAACCCACAGAAACAACTGTCCTGAACATCGGGGAGCTCTTGCTCCCCAAACTGATAGCTGGGATACCAGCATGGGACTGATCCAGACCCCAGGAACATGGGTTTCAGTGAGGAAACCTTGGAAATCTATGTAGTAGTTCAGTACTTATTCCTAGCATAGGTGTGGACTTTGGGAGCCCATTCCACATAGAGGAATACTCCCTGATCCAAGACACATGGGAGTGGGCCTAGGCCCTATCCCAAAGGATATGATAGATTCTGATGACACCCTATGGAAGGCCTCACTATCCAGGGGGAGCAGAAAGGATAGGTTGTGTTTTAGTTGGGGGGGGTGGTAAGGGAGAAGGGAACTGGAATTGTCATGTAAAACAATCTTGTTTCTAATTCAAATAAAAAATCTGAAAGAAAAAATAATAAAGGGCAAAGAAGAAAAAAAAGAGTTCTGTTTGTCTAGCTAAAGTGATGTGTCACAGTGGAGGGATTTCACATAGGGAGTGTCGTAAATAAATTTGGCTTTTGAAGACGGGCATAACTGCATAGCGACAACTAAATTGAAGAAATGGAAGCTGGAATTGGGGAGACTGGTTAGGGATATGCTGTAATAAACCTAGAAATGATGATAGTGTGGCAAAGTGGTGGCATTTAGAGAAGGAGAAAAATGAATATGTCCCATCAGTACTTATGAGATAGGTGGTAACATATCAGGAATTTACAAGGGCTTAAGAGTCAGACTTTCATTTCACGTAATGACCGTGACTTGGGTACCATTCTATATAATATCAGAGAAGCACATCTCTGATGCAGCAGGCATTGGCAGCAGGTTCAACCCCTACCCAACCAAATTCAGTGAACTTCAAAAGATTGCACTTTCCCTCTAGAGATATGGGACTGTGGCAGAATGCTCCCCCAACATGCATGAAGCCCAAGGTTCTACTCCCAGCACTGAAAAAATCACAAAGAAAGGATTGCCCTTTCTGTCCTCTGATAGGATTTCAAGTGTTCATTGTTCTTATCTAGGCACAAGGCTTTGGTATATGGACACCTGGAGTTCTAAGTCTTGTTTCTACCTCCTCTCCCACTTGTTATTATTTTTTATGACTCACTGGCAATTCCTACAGCAAGTTTCTTCTTTCTGTTTTCTTCCTACTCCTCAATAGCAGGTTTCGCAGGTTTCTCTGGGCAGCTTCCCTTCCTCCTTCTCTGGGAGTTTAGTCTTTTTGATTAGGTCAATGTGTCATTGGACAAATGTGTTCTCTGGTAATTAATGGTAGAAGTTCATCCTTCTGATCTATTACCCCAAATGATGCATGTCTTTAAATGTGGGACTTCTATTCCTCCCTGGCTTCACTTACTTTCCTAAGGGGCTGCAGTAATTTATAGGGATCGAGCTCCAAGTTCCCATGCCCCATTTCAAGGCCTGTATCAAGACAGACTGGCATTACTTCTTGCTACTCCTCATCCTAGACTGCCTCTTCTATTTCTCTGAGGCCTCTTCATCATTGGTTCTCTTCAATTGAAACCAACAGGGAACTGTTGTTTACATGTGTGATGCTGGCTCTATCCCTGCTTACTTTCTCTTTCCTTTCCCTTGCCTTTCATATATACCCATAAAAATATCAGTTGAGTTCATGAATGGGCAGGAAAGCAAAGGATAGCAAAAGATATCTTCTTTTATGAGAGATAAAGTTCTAATTTTTATTCTCACAAGATAAATTATATTTTTTACATTTTCGTTAATAAAATTACTGTTAATAGTGTGGAGATGGGCTGTTCACTATAACAGTATAGGTGGCTCTCTGTAGAGTCTCTCTTAGTTTGGGTTTCTATCAATGTGAAGATACACCATGACCATAGCAACTCTTATAAAGTAAAACATTTAATTGGGTTGTCTCTCTTACAGTTTTAGAGGTTCACTCCATTGTCATCATGGCAGGGAGCAGACATGGTGCTGGAGTAGGAGCTTAGAGTCCTACATCTTGCAGGCAACAGGCAATTGACTAATGCACTGTGTGGTATCTGGAGCATAGGAAACCTTAAAGCCCATTCCCACTGTAAGGATTCAGGCATTATTCTGGCCTACCCCTGTCACCTGGTAGAATGCACCCAGGCAGTACTCTGGCCAGCCTAGGGTTCCATGAGTACTATTCTGCACACAGGTGCAAAGGACCCCTTTAAGAGACAGACCCCCCCACTCTCTTCCCAGGTATTCTCTCTCCCTGCTCTCTTCTCTTTCTGCTTTCTTTCTGGCTCTCTCTTTCCGCTGTTACCCTGGGAATAGGACTTTTCCTATCTCCCTCTTCTCTTCTGTCTTCTCTCTGTCTCTGTGTCTCTTTACCTCTTTTCTCTTTCCTTCCTCCTCCCTCCCTTTTCTAATAAAACTTCTCACTCAAGCTTTGTCTACCTAGCATGTTTGTCCCTCTGCCTTGGTTACCCTCGCCTGCCATGGAATCCACCATGGTCCCCCACCCAAGGTCCCCATCAAGCTTTATGCTAACAACCACAGTGACACACTTCCTCCAACAAAGCCATATCTCCTAGTAGTGCCACTCCCTATGGGATTATGGGGGACAATTACATCCAAACTACCACATTGACTGAACCTGACACTCTCAAGTGAATTATTGCTTCAATATAAATAACATTATACCAAACAAAATAGCATTAAAATGAAAAGTTAGAATTATTTATGTCATGATGCTGCCTCTGATACAAAGAATCAGAGTCCTAGCTCTGGCTGCCAGTAAAGCTAGCGGACTCTTCTTCTAACCCCTCAGCAACTCTTCTAGAGTTGCATAGGATGGCATTATTTTAGCCTCCGTGGTACCATATTACTATTGCACTGGACATTTTGGTGGTACTTCAGATTTGCAAAATGCATAGCAATCACACTCCTTAGTATTTCTGCAAAGCCCTCCTATGAGGTGGTTCAGCAGTATTGAAGCCAAGCATAAAAATAAGTATGCACTTATCGGGAAGATGCTGAGAGGATCCGAATGAAATGCCAATGAGCGATAATGCACAACGTTCAAAATTGTAGTTCCCGCAGGTGCACAGCAGCACAACTGTCAAAACCCTCTTCCACTCATTTCAATCCCCAGTCTCAGAAAATAATTATTTTATGAGTTCTTACTTACAATGTTAGGGTTTATGCTACTATTTGTAAATTGCATATACAGGTATTTGTTTATCAAGACAATGTTTAAAATTCAGCATTTTACATACAAAAATTCACTTGTGTTCCCTTATGGCAAGGAATCACTCAACTAAATGGCTTTGGGATGGCCTCAAATTGTCCAGAACTTGCTTTTATTTGTCTTTTTTGTTTGTTTGTTTGTTCAAGTCAGGGCATCACTATATAGAACTGGCTGTTCTGGAACTCATTCTGTAGATAAGGCTGGCCTTCAATGCACAGAGGTCCACCTGTGTCTGCCTTCCAAGTACTGGGATTAAAGGCATGTGCCAATATACTTAACCAGAACTTGCAACTTGCTTTTTAAAATCATATTTTAGTAAGCACAAATTATGCAGCTACCATCAACTATAAACAGACCAGTTCATTTGAATAATGTGTTTTAATGGAGGTGGGAACTCCACTCCACTCCCTACAAGCTCAAAAGAGGTGAACAGGAATAGCTGAAGTGAGATGCTATACATCAGTGTGTAGCTAGGGGTGGGGCATTCTCCTAGCATATGTAAGGCCCCTTGTCTGATCCTTAGCAATTCAAGAAAGTAAACATGAAAAGATAAAGACATAAAAATGGGTCTGTTAGGGTCCGTAACTGGTACCCTTATAAGAAGAAAGAACATTGACACCAGGCACTAGAAGAAAACCACATGAAGAGCAAAGAGCTTGTGTGGACATAGCAAGAAGGCAACTGCAAGCCAGGAGAGCAGGACTCCCATCCTGTGGATCATGGATCTGGGACCTCCCAGCCTGTGAGGAACTAGATTCTGTTTTTAAGCTTCCACACCTTGGCGATTGTCATGACAGCCCTAGCAAGCAAATGCACCCTGTTTTTGCTCCAAGAGATTCCTCTTGTGGCCTCAGTCTAATTCCTAGGCAATACTGCCAGCCTCCATCTGTGCTATAGATAAAAAGAAGAAAAACGGTAAAGAAAAAGGTGGGTGCACAGGTCAGGGGGTGGCTGTTGGGTGGGGAGGACATCAGCCCCTCCCCAGCAGAGTTCCATGACCTGTACCAGCAGATCTGGGTTACAGAGCCCTCCCCACACTTCCACTGCACTGGGTTCTCTAGAGAAAGAAACCCATAGAATGAATACTTATTAAAAAAGGGATTGGTTGGATTGGCTTACGCAATGCAGACTAGATAGTCCAACCTGGCCATCTTCGTGCTGGAGAGGCTGAGAACCCACAGATGCTTAGTCCACAAAGCTTGATGCCTTGGTGGTCCCAACCTGGTGCAAAGGCTTGAAGGATTCCTGGTCTTCAGTCCACATTGGAAGGTCAATGAACAGAGTATGTCAGCAGCAACAGGGTCAATGAATTCCCCAATAGTACATAATTTCATCTGTGAAATAGTAATTCAAGCAGACAAAATTCCCTTGAATCTTATATCCGGGCAACCATCAGAAGGTGCCTCCCACAGTTAGAGTGGGCCTCCTCTTTCAGTTAATCAACTCAAGACAAGTCTTACAGGTGGGCTCAGGGGCTTGTCTCTTAGTTGATCCAGATCCAGTATGAGACATTACGTCTACTCAGCAGCCAAAGGGGTAGAGAGTGATGTGTTTCCCTTATTTCTTTTCTTTTTGAGATTGTTTTAACTAAAATATCGCTCCCTTCCTGTTCCTCCCTCCAAACCATCCCATATACTCTTCCCCACCATCCTTCAAATTAATGGCCTCTGTTTTCATCAACGTTATTGAGTGCACATATATATTTGCGTATATATGCATATTCCTAAATGTAGCCTGCTGAGCCCATATGTTGTTACTTGTATGAGTGTTTTCAGGACTGACCATTTGGCACTAGACAATTGTGTGCTCTACCCTGGGGAGACCAACTCTTTCCTTCCCAGCTTTACTCAGTTGTCTACAGTTCTTTGTGGAGGGCTGAGGCCTCATGGGCTTTTCCCTGTCCAGTTTGGCATGTTCCTTGATATCATCCTTGTTCAGCTCACATTTGAGCAGTAATGCTGGTGAAACTTTATGGGTGTAGCTTCTGATGTTCATTCATTCATTAATTTATAACTGTGCATATTGTCATGGCAAACAAAATGAAATAATGAAGTGAATGAAGATTGTGTATGCATCTAACAGACGTATACTATCTGAGATATTTTAGATGAGAATCATGGAAATACATGAAGGTGTTTCCATACCACCACAGTTGGTGACTACAACAAAGAGCAGAACATTGGGAGTATGCGTGGAGGTTACCACCCTTGGTGTAATGTGGCCTTTTAGGAAAACAAACTCAGGATGCCATGTTCTCCTACTTTCCCATGGGTTGACACTGGGCAGTCCATTGCAGGTTTTTCAGCCTGTGTTTACTTCCCTAGAAAAAAATGGGCAAGCCAGGTGTTGGTGGCGCATGCCTTTAATCCCAGCACCTAGGAGTCAGAGGCAGGCAGATCTCTATGAGTTTAAAGCCAGCCTGGTCTACAGAGTGAGTTCCAGGACAACCTCCAAAGTAATACAGAGAAACCCTGTCTTGGGGTGGGATGGGGGGTAGGGGGGAAATAGGAACAATTAGGACTGGAGGTGTCTTTCCATTGGCAGGATGCAGACCTAGCATGGGTGAATCCCTGTGTTTTGATTCTGAGCACTGTGTAAACTAAGCATAGTGGCATATGTCTGTAATCCCAGCACCTGGGAGCTGGAGGCAGAGGCATCTTAGGCTACACAGCAAATTAGAGGTCAGCCTGGACCACCTAAGACCTAAAGAAAATGGTGGGGGGAGGATCAGGGGAGGAAAATAAAATAGCAACTTGAGTAATTTTGAGTAAAGTGGTAAAATTTGTGAAGGGTGGATTTAGAAGTTCCCAGGTAAACACGAGGCACTATATTAAAGAATGTTCATCTCACGTACAATCAATAGAATTAATATCCGGGGCTGCAGAGATGGCTCAGAGGGCTAAGATCACTTCATATGCAGCATGAGAAGCTAGGTTTAAACTCTCAGCACCCACATCAAAATCTGGGCATGACTAAACCTACCCAAACCAATCCCACTCCTTCCATTCTCGGTACTGTAACCCCAGTATTGAGAAGGCAGAGATGGGACGATCCTAAGAACTAAGACAAAAAGAACCCCCAAAGATCTCAATCAGGCTTTGTATATCCCCTTCCTGTAACTTAAGTTTGGAGGTAGGTGCTATGGTTTTAATGTCTCCACCAAAACTCACATTGCAATGTAATAGCAGTGTGAGGCATTAAGAAAGGAAGGAATAACCTATAGTATTTAGAGGTGGGACCTTTGGGAGGTAATTGAGGTTAAATGAGGCAATAAGGGTAGGGCCCTAATCCAGTGGCTTTGTCAAAAAAAAAAAAAGTAAAAACTAAGCAAGGATGCTGTTTTGCCGTGAGATACTATGTGCCACTTTGGAACTCTACCTCATCACCACCTCAAGAAAGATTTCCCCAGGCATTGCTACCTGATCTTGCCTACCAGTCTCCTGGACCATGAGCTGAGTGGACTTGACTGTGTATGCATGTGTGCATGTGTGCATTATGTGCATATGTGTGTGGGTGTTTGCCAATATTATTCGAATATAGCAACAGAAGGAGTACTAAGACAATGGGTTTGTTCTACATGGTTGCCACACCCACCTTGTTATCTAAAACAACTGATGAACAACAATTACCGTGATTCCATTGCAACCAACAGGAAAATGGAAAGGGAATAAAAAGTGCCTGTCTGGCCTTTGTAAGGATACTTCCATAAAGCATCACAAACCATTCATCCTTACAACTGAAATTCTATCACATAGTCATAGCTAGCAGAGAGATGAAAATACTTCGTTTTCTATAGAGGTATCTGAGCATCCAGGAAAGAATTGGAGGCAGACAGCAGCAGCTTCTGTCACACGGACCAGGACCTGAGAAACCTATACACAACCTGTGGGAAAGACCTAGGACCTTATGTAAAGACACGGGATAACAGTGATGCTGGCGAGGTGACCTCTGGCACAGCACAGAAGCTATGTTGTCACTTCTCAAAGTGTGGCCCAAGGACTGAAAGGTGGTTAGAAATGCAAAATCAGCCCCACATTCCAGCCCCTCTGACTCAGAAGCTGCAGTTTAACAAGCATCTCTGTCACAGGCTAGACTGATGATTCCTAAAAAGAGAAAGTTAGAGACTGAAGCAGAGAATTGGAGGTGTAGGTGCATCAGTGAGAGAGGGCTGAATGAGCCCCATGTGTCTGTGACCTTGCTACAGAAGTGATGCAAAAGTGGACCAGACAGCTGAGGGTTCCCACTTGACTCAAGGATGAGAAGATCAGGAACAGGAGGAAGGAAAGAAAAACTTGGAGAGAATACAGCCTTGAAAACAAACTTGAAATAAGTACCAGCTAGATTCTGATGCAACTACCCAGTATTAAGAAGCAAGCTGCCTTAACTCTCACAATACCCTTGAGTCATAGCTAGGATTCACCCTCTGGGTGCTAAAACTGAACTCCAGATCTGTTGACTTGTTGAGATCACATGCTAAGTGCTGACACAGCTCATAACAATACTTTGCAGACTTCTGGAAAATCCCAAAACTCTATTTTGTGCATTGTCTCAATCTTCACAGTGACTGTGGAGTACACAAAGTAGCTGTTACATTAATCTTGCAAGTTAGGAATCCAAAGGCTTGACTCCAACCCGGTCATTTTCTTCTTCCTTCAATTTTTATTCCCCAGTTCCCTGACACAGGGTGAGGAAGAAAATATAGGATATGTCAGGCAGGAATTTAACTGTGCAAAAGGCCAGCCCAGGGACAGGCACACACATGATGATACTTCTGATGGCAACTGGTATTTTTATCATTACAAAGTGCTGGTTTTGTTCAAGAAAGTAATATTTATAGAGGTAATTGCTAGTGTGAGGAGTATAGAAGCCAAATGAAGAGAGGACATTTGAAGACATTATATCAAAAATAGGGAAGTAACTCCACATAAGGCTTCAGCACAGGGTTAGGCAGCTGGCTCTGCCTAGAATGGTAATGCTGTACAAAGCCATTCACATCTGCTTCTTTAGCCTCAAGGGCCATACTTCACTGGAAAAGATAAAGTATACAAGATACTAGTCTAATTCTCAGAACTGAACACACTTCTGATAGTTTTCTTTCTTAGTAAATTCTTAGTAAATCTAGTTGTAGATGGAAAAATGCAGTTGGTGACTGTCTAAGCAGCATCGAGCATGGACAGAGTTAACCAAATTGACAATCTTGGACAGACTTCATTGACATAACCTTTAAGGAGAACGAGCCCCTCTCCTCTGCACACAGCCTCTACACACTGGTTAAAATGAACTTGACTCCTAATGGTACTGTCTTCCCTGCTGATGTGCTTAAGTTACCAGCTTTTAAATGATTTTATTTCTCATAACTGTACTTAGTAACTCTGGCTCTTGCAAATGAGCACAAAACAGACAGTCATCATCACTCTTTCCTTTTTAATGTTTATGAAGAAAATGAGATTAAAGGCAAAACTCTATTTATGAGAAGCTTTGGCCCAGTCTATGAAAGTGACAGATTTTCCACTTCCTAGAACCTTCTTGTTCCACTCTCCACCCCCAAAAATCCATACTTTTCTTTAATATATTGATTTCTTGTTACAGAACAAGAATGCTATTAAATATCTTTGTTTGGTAGCTTGAGGTTACCAGTTTTGAGAGAAAAATACATCCATACTTAAAAGAGAGTTGGTAGGGTGGACAGAAGAGGCCCAAGAGGAGGTAATCTGTACCAGGAATGATTTACAATTGACTGAAGGACCCAGAGTCTTTCCAGAGGAGGAAGAGAGCAAATGAGAAAAGCATCCAATCCCAGGGAAACCCTTTGATGAATGAGCAAGATTCTCTAACAGATGAGAAAGCACTTTCACCAGTAGCCAGCTGGCTCCTCTCCTCTCTTTTTGGCTTGTAGTGCAGTGGAAATATTCGGTATAAGGACTTACAGAATATATGAACCAGCTGACTAATAAATTGAAGTGTTCTTTTTTTTTTTTTTTTTTTTG